ATTTTATATCTTATTTTGATTTTTTAACGATTTGGTTTAATTTGGTTGCGTTTTGATTTATTTTGATTGATTTTCAATTTTCAATTTTCAATTTTGGGCTAAGGCTGTCCCTAATGGGAGCAGTCAAAACACCAAATTTGATTTAACCCCATATACTCTTTGTTGGATGAAAGGAGAAAAAAAGAAGTGGTCGCACGAAAGAAGAAAATGGATTTCTTTATTATAGCGGACGGACCTAGCGTGAAACAAATCACGAAGGGTGTGGATTTCGATTGTCATGACCATTAGACGGAATCGTTTTCTGACCGGAAGCCTGGGCGCTGTAACGATCGAGTTGAATCAGAAGAAGTCTTGGAGGTATGTCAGTTGTAAGTTAGAATTGCCGGGGCCTTGGAAATCTAGGGACGATGCAAATCCTTATAGACCTAATGCAGTCCAAGAGATCGACTAGAGATTCTTTTCTTGATGGAGACTACATCAAACGAATCAAGGTGCGTGGAAGTCAGAAATCAGTTGGGGTTCGATAGTCATTTCTCGGTCGACAGTCAAGGACTGAGTGGAGCCGTGGAGGGCTGTGTCTCATGTGGCGAAGCAACAACAGTATTGATATTAAGGGGCATGGGGTCAATTACATTGACATTGAAGTTCAGCTGGAACCTGATGAACCGAAATGGCGACTCACTGGCTACTATGGTTTCTTGGAAAGAGGCAGGAGGCGTGATTCATGGGATCTCATCAAACATCTGGCTCTCATATCAGACATACCATGACTCATGTTAGGGGACTTCAATGATTTACTCTTTGATTCTGAACGAAGAGGTACACTACCACAACCACCGTGGTTGATGCACGGATTCCTAGAGGCGGTCCATAGTAGTGGTCTTCTGAATATTCCCTTTGAAGGATACACCAGTGGACATGGGAGAGAGGAAAAGGAACACCAAACTAGATCGGGAAATATCAGATAGGATCCAGGCAAATGAAGAATGGAAGTATATCTTTGAGGACTATCAAGCAACTTCCTTCAAGGGCCCGTCGAGTGATCATTTAATGCTGCACATCCGACTGATCAAACAAGGGAGTAGAAGAGGGGAAAATTATTTAGATTTGAAAATTGTTGGTTACAGGAGGAGTGCAGGGAGGTTGTCAAGTGATACTGGTCTAACTCTGGCGTGTAGTAATTCGGCAGCGACTTTTGGGTTGTGGAATTGAATTGGATTTATGAAGCATCTTCGAGTTGCCTTCTAGGCCAGAATTGAAGTTTGTAAAAAAAGATTCGCCAATCTGAGTGAGGAAGGGTAGATAGAATGCAGCTGACTTCCACAAGATAAAAATGTGTTATTGGATCTTTTAGAGAAACAAAACATTTTTAGGAAGCAACAGGCCAAGGAATTTTGGCTCAGGGATGTGGAGATGAATAGAATATTTTTTCACAATGCTGTCAAACAAAGGAGAATGAGAAATAGGACGAAGGGTCTACTGCTTCTGGACGGAACATGGGAGGGCAAATACTGTATGGGGTCAATGATTAAAGACTTCTACACAAATCTATTCACGGCTAGTACCACCGCGACAGATGAATTGAAGGCAGTTTGCCTGGTCTATCTCAGGTAAGTTTGACTCAAAACCGTGATTTAATACGTCCAATTCCAACATTAGAAGTTAAAAAAGCAGTTTTTATATGCATCCGGATAAATCTCTGGGACTTGATGACTTGAATCCTGGATATTATAAACATTAATGGGATATTTTGGGTGAGGATATTGTTACATATTGTCAAGAGCTTTTTTCCAACGGTGTCATTCCTAAGGAAATTAATGACATACATTTAATCTTAATTCCTAAAAAAGAAAAGCCTGAAGTTGTGGGAGATTGGAGACCACTTGCGCTTTGTAATGTTCTGTTGAAAATATTCACTAAAGTCCTGGCTAACCACTTAAAAGAGATTTTGAATCATAAGACGACTGCTAGGTCATCTTTCTTTTTTGTTTTCAACCACTCTTGTCACCGAAAAGACCACCGGAAAAGTGTCATTAACGAAATCATTTTTAAAAAATAATTCAAACATATCTGAAAAATCCAAAGGCAAAGGTGGTTTGGAGGCCACATCTTGACGAGGCGCACCTTTCAGCATTTTTCTTTTAATTTTCCGAGCACTTTTGAAAATCGGAGTTAATTTTAACGACCTTTTTCAGACGTTTTTAACGGCGTGACCCTCTTGTAATAACGGAATTCAAACACATGAACCACTTTGATAAAGAGTGAAACACATGACCCTATCTGAAAATGGGCCCAACCACAAGTACTTTTTCCATACTTTTCCCTTTGATTTATCCACCCATATTATGTTGTAATCCTAGGAAAGAAGTATATAAAGGTGCCAAGGTGGGTTGGGGGCACCCTTGAGGTGGAAATCGACAACCTATATCGGACAGGTGGTTGCAGGTGGTAGCCACACTAGCAGAGCTCATTGGAGCGTAGCGGGAACAGAAGCAGCGTTGGGGGTTCGGGAAGCCTTGGGATGGATAAAAACCCAAGGGTGGACAAGGGTCAAAGTGGAAACACATTCACTGGTAGTGGCCTCAAACATTACGGAAAGGGAGGGCAGGCTTATCTTGATACTATTATCGATGATATTAGACACATTCTTCGCACTGAAGCTAGTTTAGAAAGTCATTCATTGTAAACGATCCGCGAACAAAGTGACTCATACATTGGCAAGAGCTGCTCTTTGAATGTCGGATGAAAGTACGAATTTTATTTTTGCACCTGATTGTATTGTACTCCACTTGGACAATGATAAGGTGTATTAATAAAATGCCAGTTTTCCTTTAAAAACACCAAATTTGATTTATCCACCCATATTATGTTGTAATCCTAGGAAAGAAGTATATAAAGGTGCCAAGGTGGGTTGGGAGCACCCTTGAGGTGGAAATCAAAAACCTATATTCACAATAGAGAGCGAAGATGTAACACATCTCAAGACTACTCCCATACAAGCACGCTTAACTTTGGAGTTCTTAGCAGACGAACTCTCTTAAAAGGAGATGTACTTTGTTGGTATGAGTAGTACTATTAATCCATTTAAATTAAACTCAAGTGTTACAGAAAATATGCGCCACCAGCTTGCTTGCCGAAGTAACAAAAGAGGCGGGGCCCTCAAAAAATAAAAATCCCAATATTTTTTTAAAACTTATTAACTTCTTTAATTGTATTCTAATTTTTATAAAAAAAATATCCAAGTTCATAACTTTTGAAGATATTTCATATGACATCAATATCATACATGTAAATTTTAAAAAATATATTACGTATAAAGTTTTATCTGATCATGATTTTTAGATCTAAAGTTTTTCTTAAGTAGATCCAAGTGTTAAGAGTTAAGATTTCATAGTCAATTTTTTATACATGTTTTAGTAATTTATTCCAAAAAAGAAAACCGAAATTAATTTAACAACAAAAATTAATTTCGAATTTATTTATTTTTACAGAATGCTATATTGAAAAAAGAATATATTGACAATTATGATTGCAGAAAAAAATTGACAGAATGGATACATAAAAATTGGTGGAAAAATTTATTTTTGACAGAGAGGTGGTTGCAGGTGGTAGCCACACTAGCAGAGCTCATTTGGTGGAAGAATTGGTGGAAAAATTGCAGTAAAATAAAAGGAACCCTATGGAGGCCCCCTTCCCTAGATAATCGATAAACTTAACCCAAACCATTTTCCTTTGGAAACTGTAAATGAAAATCTAATTGGGTCAAAACTTTCTAAAATTACACCTGTTTAAATGTCATGTTATTTACCTCGGACTATATAGTAGAAGTATTTAAATATGTTTATTTCCTTTAAATTTTCTTCTTTCATAATCTACTGGGGCGGAATATGGGATAGACACAGCTAGAAACTAGTCTTTTGTAAATGGGCCTAGTCTGGATTGGGCTTCAACCGTTGGTTCTGATTTTGTTAACATCTGAATTTTGGTCTAATAATTTCAGGGTAATTTTATTTTAAATTTTGATCCGACCTCTGATTCCATTCAATGTTACACAAAACCTATAAAAATAAGGAGGAATTGGATTTTTCATCTCTGTTTCACAATTATTAATATGTGCACCCGTTTGTAAAAAAATGTGCAATATAAAATATGACTTAAGGTCCCAAATTGCTTTTTTATTATTATTATTATTTATATTTTCTTTAATCAACCCTCCTTTATAACTTAAATATTTCTTTAAATTGTGAAATATAAAATATTTCAAGTATCATTGTTTTTCTTTTTATTGTTAACTTTAAGAGGAATATTTGTTAATTTAATAAAATTTTGTGATTTTGACACTATGTGTTAATTATTAACATCAATTTTGTGTTATACTAAAATGAGTATAGTGTTTAAAATAAATGTTCATGAGTAAAATTTATAAAAAGAATATGAATTTTGTACTTGAAGAACGATATGTTATAAATTATTTGAAACTAAAATTTATTATATTCCTCATGATATATATAATGATAGTTTACAAAATTGTTCACAATGGATCTATTGTATGTGCATATGCAAATGAATATTTGAGCACATTAGAGATTTTAAATAAGCTTTTGAATTTTTTGGTGTTCATTTTGTAAATTATTTTGCACTCATTTGGTACTGATGTTATGTTCATTTTAAAATGTCATATCAATGATGACAAAGCTCAAGCGACTAGATTGGAGCTTGATGACATAATTTAAATGCTCAATAGTAGAAAAAATGATACTCAATGCAGATGATTTGATGCTCAAATAAACTTTTGAAATTTTTATGTTTAATTGCAAAGTTTCAATGCTCAATAGACATAGTTTCAATGCTTAATAGTAGAGAATACGATATTCAATGAAGATGTTTTGATACTTAAATGAGATTTTGAAATTTCATATACTGAATTGTAGAGTTCATATGCCCAATAGAGGGAACTTGATGCTAAAATGAAATATTTTGATATTCAACTATAAGACATGTTCAACAAAGAAAATCTGATTGGGAATGTTCAATATGGAGAAGCCTTTCGTGGTAAGATTGGTGAAAAAAATGCAATGGTGAAGATCTGGAAACCTCGCCGTCCATTTTGTACAGTTCATCATGGTGATAATGAAAGCAGGTTCCGGGATGAAATGGCATTGCTTCAGCACCCGAATTTGATGTCACATCCGAACATGGTTAAGCTGATGGGATATATTGCTATGAGGAAGAGAAAATTGGGGTTGTCTATGATCTTGAACCACATGACACAATACATTATCTTATGCTTAAAGATGACTTCACTAGTGGGGCTTTAGTTTCAGACTGTTTAATTATCTAATTTACTGCTTCTTTAAACTAGGTACTCTTCCCAACAAATTACCAGCAGGTTATTAATCTGTCTTGTTCATCTTCTTAGTGTCTTGTTCGTAGTGGGGCTTTAGTTCATGCTATTGAATTATCTAATTTACTGCTTCTTTAAACTAGGTACTCTTCCAAGCCGTACAAAGTAGGTACTCTTCTAGGCCCTAAAAATGAAGATTAACGACTTAAAAGTGTAAATAACATAGGAACTACAAACTACTACGTATTAAGGAGTACTAGATTCTCACCCGTGTAATGCACGGGACAAAATTTAAAAAAACAATGTTGTGTTATATATTTACTATATTGCATAATCACTAATGCCAAAGTTTCATAAAAATACTATGTGTAAATGTAAAAAATAAAATATGTAGTATAAGGTAATACATAGTATATAATAAATGTCATACAAACCTAGAGCGAGGTGGCCAGGTGGGGAATAAAGAAAAGAGCGAAAGTGGTAACAATGTTTTGGGAGAAGACAAACATTATAAACAATGAAAGACCTACATTTTGAACCTCTTATTTGTAAATAACATTCGTAGTATGACTGTATGATTGCTTTGTTTGTTATTTTCATTATAAATCAATATCTTTAAACATGTACGTTTGTTATTCTCAACATTGCTACATAAAGTTGAGAATGAGTGAATATTGTTTTTTAGAATTTAGAAATATGTGACGAAGATTAACCTTGACTATTATTTAGTCGTGATATGATATAAGAGGACATGATCGAAAATTGTCTTTTCCGAAACATCAACAGTATTATCTCACTCGAAGGTGTTAGACTCTTAGAGTCAGGTTTGGCATTACAACTTCCCAACATCATATTTCACAGATAATTAACATAGCTTTGTATGGAAATAAATGCCCATAGTAGAGTTGATTTTGAATCCTGGTGAGATGCTTCCGAGAGATTCATGGGTTTTCTTTAAACAAAGCACTCTCCAAAATAGTGGTGTAGTAAAATAGTGCTAACACCATATATTGAGCATATAAAGTTATAAACAAAGCCTAGACATCAACGGGTTGGATAACAGTCCGCTCTTCAATATGCGCACTTCATAATGGTTTGCTATCTGACCCGTTTTTTTCCCATGACCGATAGATGGTGTTTGAGCATTAGGTATATCTTAAGAAGTTACAATTAGATATTGCATCATCTAAAATTTAAATGAAATAGCTATACTTGAATGATCACTTAAGGACCCAATTAATAAGATAATGTTTTTTGATCATATGCTACGTAGTAGTTCTAACCTTGTCAGCTAATTTTTATCAAACTAGAATTCCATGGAGTAATTTTATGGATTCATATGTGATTCTCTTATAGAGTCACATAGGCTATTGTGACATCACCTCTACCACATATTATTTTAGTGGAGACCTCCACTAAAATAATGTGAGATGTGAATGATGCCATAATAGCCTATGTGATTCAATAAAAGAGTTATGGCTCTGTAATTTTTTTGGAATTCTATGACAATTTGATAGAACCCCTACTTGTCACTGAATTTACCATTTGCATGAATTAGAGACGAAAGAACACTCTGGGATGAAATCTCTGACGTGCTTCGTGATAAATGTGAACGATAATAATTTGTTGGGAGTCGTTGATCAAATGCACCATTTAAATTACCATTAATTTTGTATGACCAAATCAGTGATAAAGTACTTAAAAAGTGAAAATTGCTCAAAGCTTCTTTCAAAACTAATTTTCCCAGACTAATCATTTCATTTCTATCCCTAAATTAATTAATTAATCTAATTAATAGTCGCTTATTCCCTTGCATATATATCAAAGTCCGTCCGTTGGTGGCGACAACAGACTCCAGTAGTGGCGCAATCCTCCGGTCAAATTGTATACGACATTTTACACGCCAGTTAAATTATCTGTGTATAAACAATTTATTTCCTTCCGTAAAGAAAATCATTTTTCTCACCGATAAAAAAATGTCTATATCATAGATATTTTTTTGTCTGTGCAAAAAAATCATTTTCTACTAGATGAAAAAAATCCACATAACATCACAATCATCAAAACTATTACTCCTTCCGTATCAAAATTAACTTCTCACTTTCCTTTTCGGGCAGTCCCGAAATTAACTTCACACTTCAAAACTTTTCTTATTAGGCAAATAATCTACATAAAAAAGTGTCAAACAGTGCCAAATAGTGTTTAAACAGTGCAAAATAGTGCACTCCACAGTAAAGTCAAATTTATTTTCTTAATATGTATGAAGTCAAGCTGAGAAGTTAATTTTGGGAGGAGGTAGTAATACAAAAAGAAAAGATAGAAGATTTTTTCATGGCAGAAAAGACAGAAGATTAGATCGTTGGAGATGACGCCTAGAGTTTCCCTAGGAGTCCACAAATTCTATATTCCTATTTGGCTATTTGGATGTGTACTATAACAGGATAATTGGTACGGTGATAATGACATAGTTAGGCGTGTATTAATCTCAAGATAATGTGGTAATTGTTGATTTGTTGATAATGCATAGAGAGTTGATCATTTCCTAAAATTGAGTGAGAAATGGGAGGATAAATTAAAAGAAGACAAATAGAATACGGAGTATTAGATTGTCAATCGATTACAGATTTACTGACAATATGTGTTTAGGGCCTTAGGCTCACTATTCGGCATAGTTTGCTGCTTGCTGTTAGTTTAGGTACGGAGTATGAAAGAAAACAATCTGTTAAATGTTGGCTGGGATTCTTAGCAGATCCAACTAATTACCTCATTAAAACTTCAATGAAATTAGGATCCCGTTTATTAACCCGACTTATCAACCAACTTTTTGATCAAACACATAATATTTGATTTTGCAGCTAGTGTAGAGAATCACTTTAACTATTTTTCATACAATTTTAATTTACTTTATTTCTAAAAAATATTTTAAATATAATTTGTTCATAAATCTGTAGAACTAGTCAATCCTATCAGTTCAGCCAGAACTTCATAAATTTCTGTAGAATGATATGATTTTGTCAATTTCAATGTTACCAAACAGGCATTAAAATCGATGCATTCATATTATTGCAGCCAGAACTTTGTCATGTGCAGGCTTCTTTGCGTTTATATATTTTGATAGAGTTTTTTCCCGGAATAATGCTGCATAAATAAATAATTCCCAAAATACTGCTGGGTTAAAAATAATTCCCAAAATACTGCTGGGTTAACTGTGGTTAAGGAAAGCCGCCACTTGAAATGGCGGCTTTTCTCTACACAGTACAAGAGCCGCCACTTGAAGTGGCGGCTTTTCTTAAAGCATCAAACTCTACACTTACGTAACATACATGCTCAAGTCTAACAACAAATGCAGTGGGACCCATCCAAAATTAAAAAACCCCTGTTTTCTTTGAACTGCTGTAACTTTTTTATTTATACTCTGATTGTTACAAAAAATATATCAATATTCATAATTTTTTATTATCTTTCATATGACACCAATATTGAATATATAAAATAAAAAAATAATTTAACACTAAAAATATAAAAACTAAAAATTTACATTTTCAGAAACTACATTAAAACCGCTATTTTTAGCTTTTTATCAATTTTAAAATAGACTGGTTAAATCACTCTTAATCTTTTAGTTTTTGAAAATAGACCGGTTTTTGAAAATTGATAAAGATTAAGAGTGATTTAACCAGTCTATTTTAAAATTGATAAAAAGCTAAAAATAACGGTTTTAATGTATCTTCTGAAAATGTAAATTTTATTTACTAAAAATAAACCGGGTGTGAACATGGATCAGGTTGTTTTATCGTCAGTCAAGCATCGTAAAGTGTACGAGAAGTTTATTTAGGACCGGAGATAGTAATTTTTGGTGTTAAATTATTTTTTTATTTTATATATTCAATATTGGTGTCATATGAAAGATAATAAAAAATTATGAATATTGATATATTTTTTGTAACAATCAGAGTACAAATAAAAAAGTTACAGCAGTTCAAAGAAAACAGGGGGTTTTTAATTTTGGATGGGTCCCACTGCATTTGTTGTTAGACTTGAGCATGTATGTTACGTAAGTGTAGAGTTTGATGCTTTAAGCAAAGCCGCCACTTCAAGTGGCGGCTCTTGTACTGTGTAGAGAAAAGCCGCCATTTCAAGTGGCGGCTTTCCTTAACCACAGTTAACCCAGCAGTATTTTGGGAATTATTTTTAACCCAGCAGTATTTTGGGAATTATTTATTTATGCAGCATTATTCCGGGAAAAAACTCTGTATGTTACGTAAGTGTAGTGTTTTATGCTTTAAGAAAAGCCGCCACTTCAAGTGGCGGCTCTTGTACTGTGTAGAGAAAAGCCGCCATTTCAAGTGGCGGCTTTCCTTAACCACAGTTAACCCAGCAGTATTTTGGGAATTATTTTTAACCCAGCAGTATTTTGGGAATTATTTATTTATGCAGCATTATTCCGGGAAAAAACTCATTTTGATAAGTTACAACTGAATAATTTTTTCAAATTCATATACGGGTTTAACTATAATATATAACTAAAAACAACGAGCTTTTGGAAAGCCGGCCCTAGGGGAACCCTAGGTGGCCATCTCCAACCTCCTTCAAGTTCCGATTTTCAACCTTTTCTTTTTTAATCAGCAAAAAGTTTTGGAACATAGTGACATTCTCTATGCAGTGAAAGATTGAATCAAAGGTTTTTCTATGCTTTCGCTCATTTTTAATTTCTATTTTCAACGATTTTGGTCCGGCTTCTTCATTGGCCAAGAATTTTGTCCGCTTCATGTGAGCGAGTGGTATGTTATTCTCCTAGCAATGTCTAGAAGTTGTGTGTTTCTAATCAGTGTAATCGATCTGGTGAATTTTCGTTGTTCATGGTTGGTAAAGTTTTTTCAACCTTGTTGTTCCGATGTTTCAAATACTCGTCCACCACCTGAACCACCGCCTCGCTCTGGGAAGAAGAAGATGATCAATTGGATCTCCTTTTCGGTGGCTGGTCAAACCGATGCTTCAGAAAATTTCTGCTCGACTGATTTTCCTTTGTTGGTTGCTGGTCAAACCAATTCTCCCTTTCCGGTGC